TGTGGTTTGTACCACCAGGAGATTGCTTGTGGGACGTAATGGGAGCGAGGCGACTGTAAAGCTCGTTCGGCCAGAGGGTCCAGGCAATAGGTGGCCACACAGCGGGAAGTCAACTGTCTATTGTCTTACCTGTACTTACAATAAAGATTGTCGTGTGTGCTCTGTGTGCGTTCGGGTTCAGTGTGTGTTGAAGGTTAGTCTGTCTGTCATAGGCCCAGTTACGAGCCAAGGACCAGCAAGGTCACCCAGAGGTCTGTGACAATTGTATAGAGAGGAGTACATGAGGTACAGCAACACTGAAACAGACAGTGGATGTACGGAGAGGATTACATTAAAGCTCTGTCATTCTGTAATCTTGATATCAAGTCTCTCGCAATTCTGTTGTCTATAACTTTTAAGTGCACTTTTTCTTGTTGCATTTCGTCAAACTTTAGTCGTCTTTTTGTTTTTTTTTTAAAGTTTTCTCCTGTTACAGCAATTTGGAAAAAACATTGCTTTTCTTTCTTATTTTAATGGGGTATTTTCATGCTGAGGATTTTTTTTTTTAAATTGTAATTTATGTTATTATCTATAGTTAGTCTCTTGTGCCACTAGCATCACAGCTGTACTTAACAGTCACTCTTTCTATAAACCCGTTTAATTTTTAAAATTATGTTTGTCTTATAACCCAGAGTGGCTTTCTTTTTATTCACATTTTGGCAAAAAAAACATTAAATTATTTGGCTATCCTCTGAATAACAGCGAAAGTGCACAATTGACACGGGACTGAGGCCCTGTTGGGGTGTTTTTGCGGCCGCCATAATATGTGCCATTTATTTGGAGGATAGCCAAATATCAGAGAGCTAAAGGGAGATAAATCTCCACAAGTAGGACACAAACCTACCGGATATCCCTGTGTCCACATCTTCCGGTAGCTGTGGCAGTGGTTTCCCGGCAGTCTCTGGGAGCATCAGAGCTAGACTTCCGGCCAACAGGGACAACCCGCCAAACAGAATTAGGGGCAAGGCTTCAGAAACCGTTTTCAGGTCAAGGAAAAATGGCGCCAGAATTCCCCCAATCCGAGCTGACATTGAGGCCACGCCCATTCCGATGTTTCTGAGTAAAAATTTTCCAGTACACAAAACATTTCGAAGCAAAAAGAAATGGGTTTATTTACATGTTATGCAAACAAAATGTTTGAAAGAAAATGTAAATGAATCTTGACCCCTCCTTGGATGAATATCTGACATCTATGATCATTGCACACCTTATAAGGCGAACTAGTGTATTTTAGCAAGAGAGGGTCTACCAACTGTATTCACCTAGTCACCTCTGGTCGTGTCTGTGTGTGATAAATGGTAAACAGACATCTGACTCTACTACCTGTGCTCACCTAGTCACCTCTGGTCGTGTCTATGTGTGATAAATGTTAAACAGACATCTGACACTACTACCTGTGCTCACCTGGCCACCTCTGGTCGTGTATGTGTGTGATAAATGTTAAATAGACATCTGACTCTACTACCTGTGCTCACCTGGCCACCTCTGGTCGTGTCTATGTGTGATAAATGTTAAACAGACATCTGACTCTATCACCTGTGCTCACCTGGTCACTGTGGGGAAGATTTCGGCAGCCATCAGGTAGATAATTCCGTAGGAAGCTGTGATTCCAAATTTGCCAATCATCGCCAGGATGACCGTCAGAGTTTCAACACCTGTAAGAGGAATCGGAATGGAAGAGCCATGTTAACATGGAAGGGTGCTGTCAAGTCAGGAGACAAAGATTATTACAAGATCAGATGGTCGCGTATGTGTTATCATCTCCAGGCTGGACACACAATGCCTCCAACGGTAACCAATGTTTACTCAGTGAGACCACAGCTAGGATGGCCGACTTCTACTGTTGCCCCTCTCCTTCTGTAAAGAACATCAGTACTGATCAATGCCGTCACGGCTGGCACAACGAAGAGAGACAAACGTTTAGTTCATACATATTTGCAGGGACTCTTATACAGGGGACATAATGTTTGTGAAACTTTGTCAAAAGAAGTCAGAAATATACATGCTTTACCAATCGAATCAATCTGCATGTTAAACAGCAGGGAGGTTTTTGGGTAAACCACAATTTGACAATTGATGAACAAAGTTCAGCAATGCAAAATGGTGAAAGGAAAACATGACGTAATGTGTATTATCCACCGCTGCTGCCATTAAAACATGACATAATGTGTATTACCTACCGCTGCTGCCATTAAAACATGACATAATGTGTATTATCCACCCCTGCTGCCATTAAAACATGACATAATGTGTATTACCTACCGCTGCTACCATGAAAACATGACATAATGTGTATTACCTACCGCTGCTGCCATGAAAACATGACATAATGTGTATTACCTACCGCTGCTGCCATTAAAACATGACATAATGTGTATTACCTACCCCTGCTGCCATTAAAACATGACATAATGTGTATTACCTACCGCTGCTGCCATGAAAACATGACATAATGTGTATTACCTACCCCTGCTGCCATTGACAGGAATGCAACCAGACAAGATGCAAGCCAGCCCACCCAGGTACATGGAGAGCACTAGCGGCCAGCGACGACCAACCTTGTTGAGGAAGGCTATACACAGCGCATAGGCTGGGATCTCCACAGCTCCGGCTATGCAGAAGTTCAGATACGGGTCGCCTGAAAACAATCACCAGGCGTTTGTAAACATCCAAAGGGGTCATCATAGATTTATTGCCTGGCATATTTCTCTGTATCTCGTCAGGTGAATACAACAGTAACAATTACATAAATGAAGCAAATTAGTGAATACTTTATAACTGAAGTACAATTTCAACAACGATCAAACATGACTGCCGGTTTTTACCAGGGCAGCCGTAAAGATAGAACCATATCTTTCTGAATAGAGTTCCGGGCGCAGGTGACGAATCGCGGAAGCTTCGAGAAATCTTGTGCCATTGGTTAACGTATAAAGGATTTGAGTTATAAAGTATATAAACGACATCATCCATCCATACACATCAAACCATACAGATTCGAGCGCAGACAGCCCAATCGTACGCACCTCTCGTCTTCCGCTCGATCGCTGACTCTCCATTCATGGCCCGATTTTCGATAGCCAGATACTTGACACTGATTTGCTTGACATTCAGCTGAGTCTGTCTTGACTGGTTATCGCTCATTCGGTGTTGCGAGTGGAGTTTTTGACAGCCCGTTTTCGCACCAGATACTAACGATTGTCTCGTGAACTGCGGAGAAAGCACGCTTGGTGTTTTTTTCAGAGCACTTAACAAGCCTTGCCGACTCTGCAGGGATCGAGCTTTCAACAGCAGCCTGAGTAGTACCGCCTTGCCAGCCCGATCAAACAACCATGGCCCGTGGCAAAAGTAATCAGAGGAAGTAGCAACCAAACCGCAGCACCCGCTCTACTACAGTGAACGAAGTTACCGCACCCAACGTGTAACCGACCTCACCAGAGGAGACGTTGCCGACACTAGAGGACCCAGTCGAGGCGCAAGCACCGGCTGAAGTTGTCTCTAGTCTGAAGCCAGCCACACCGACCCAGACGTCGCCAATTCCAGACGCAGTCCCGGTGGAGGCACAGCCACCTATCAACACGACAAACATAGAAGCCGCAACTGCCGTGACACGGATAGGAAGTAGCAGTCAGCCGCACAAGAAGCAGCAGTCTGGTAACTAAACACATGATATCACGCAGTGTTCGTGCTGTAACCGGGCGTGGTATACCGCCGCGACCTGCCGCAGCAGCCCAATTTGCCGTTACTGCGCCGGCCCGCATGATTTTAAGGAATGCAGCATTGCTAAAACGGATCCGGACTTCAAGAAGCCCAACACCAATCGAAAGTGCTCTAACTGCTCAGGGAGCCACAGCGTCAGGTACCAAGGATGCCCGTACTTAAAGGAAATAAAGAGAGCCAAGATGTACACCACCACAAGGACCACTTCTAACCCAGAGTACCGACGCAGAGCTGAGCAGCCCAGGCCGACAGTCACGGCCCCCACGATCAGCAAGGAATTTCTGCTGTTAAAACCATTCACACCCAGATGTACAAACGAGGAACAGCCTACAATAATCGAACAAGAAGTCAGAGAAGCAATCAGATGCAGTCCCAAAAATAAGGCATCAGGTGTTGATGGAATATCAGCTGAGGCAATACAGGCTTGTTGAGAAATTGGAGTCACCTGGCTACTCCACATTTTTAGAAAAGCCTGGAATGAAAGAACTGTACCAATAGACTGGCAAAGAGCCCTTATAGTCCCAATTTGGAAAAGAAAAGGAAATAAGCAAGATTGTAACAATTACAGAGGCATCTCCCTTCTAAGCCACGTAGGAAAAATGTTTGCCAAAATTCTGGAACAACGAATTAGATCCGTTGTAGAACCGATCCTGAGCCCATCACAGGTCGGATTTAGGAAAGGAAGAGGGTGTACTGACGCTATTTTTGATTTAAGACAAGTTAGCGAAAAGACAATAGAACACAGACATCAAATGAACATCGCTTTCATAGATCAAGAAAAAGCTTTCGATAGAGTAAACTGAAATTTATTATGGAAAGTTCTTGAAAACTACGGTATAAATGGAACAATTTTAGATTGTGTTAGGGCTATTTATAGACAAAGTGAAAGCGCCATTAGAACAAGAGCTGGCATCACAGACTGGTTCCCAGTAACATCAGGAGTAAGACAAGGTTGTGTATTATCACCTTTACTTTTCATAATATTTATGGACAATATTAATAAAATAGACATAACACCAACAGATGTCGATAAACAGGAGGACTTCAATGAGCTGCTCTTTGCCGACGATCAATGCATATTTCACAGTGATAGTAAACAGCTGCAAGACCACATAAACCTACTACACGACAGTTGCCTCAAGCATCATATGAAGATTAATACTGAAAAGACAGAAGTCATGAGCATAAGTAGAGAGCAACAGACCACCGACATAAAGATTCTAGATCACAGCCTAAAACAAGTTCAAGAATTTAAATACTTGGGAAGTATCTTTACATTCAATGGTAAAATAGACAGAGAGATCGAAGCAAGAATCCAACAAGCCAACAATGTCGCATACCAGCTTGCCCCAATTTTAAAACACCCTGCTGTCCCAGCTGAGATAAAAAGACAAATTATAAATACAATCTTTATACCGACATTAGGTTATCAATGTCAGACTTGGACATTAACAAAAGAACACGAGAGAAGACTAACCACCTGTGAAATGAGATGTTTGAGAATGGCTGCGAATAAAACCAGAAGAGATAGAGTGAGAAACGATGTGATTACAAGAACTATTGGAACCATACCCATCGTTAAATTTATTGAGAAGCAAAGAATGAAATGGTTTGGTCACCTAATGAGAATGGAACCAACGATGCCAGCATCAAGAGCATACAACATGAAAATCGAAACACCAAGAGGCAGAGGAAGACGAAGAAGAAGATGGATTGAAGGAGTCACGGACAACTTGAGACTTCATAACATCACGGCATATGAAGCGACTGAGCGCGCCCTGGTTCGGTTGCCGATCATCTGATAGACTGCGACGCCTAGCGGCACAAGCAGATTTTAACAAAAGAAGAAGAAAGGAGGAAATCCAGAACCTCAAGAAAGAGAACACAATAATCAGGAAGCAAAGAGACCAAGAAAGGGACAACATGACAGATCTGAGAGGAATCCTGCAGTCATCCCTTGAAACCCAGAGAAGACTGGAAAAAGAGAATGTCGAGATGATGGCATTCAAGACAGACCTGATGGCGATGCTGACAGAACTCAAGAAAATGAAAGAAGCAAACACAGAATCTACAAAAAAAAACTGCAAGAAGATCAAACAAACCTAAAATCCGAAATCACTACTATCAAGAAAGAACTGATAGCAAGCAAAGCAGAGTTAACCAAGACCAAGGAAGAATGCACCAAACTGAGCGCCGTACTGCAAGCCACCAACAAAGTGATGGACGCCAGAGAAAGCGCAAAGAAACAAGTGGAAAGGAAAAGGCAATCCGTCGAAAACCACCAAAAAGAACAGAAAGCAAAACAAACTGCCGCAGAAAAAGCACAGGGGGAATACTACAAAGCAACGATAGAGGAGGATAGAAGAGCAGTAAAAACAGCTGAAGTGACAAGCGAGGTCAGCGTCCAAGCGAAGCACCAACCATTCAAAAGCCCACTGCTAAGTGATTTGTGTGCGCCAAGGTTCGCCTAAAGAAAAAGAGGTAACCACCAGCTCAGACCCAGCAGACGATCCAGCCTGCCCGAAGTACGACGAAGCCAGCAACCAACCAGAACCGACCAAACCGCCATGACACCTACCAAAACCAGCTCACCAGACAGGAATAACCCACTTGCACAAAACCAGCCAAGCATGACTAACTCGACAGCCAGAACTACTCCCACCCATCCCCGACGAAGGCCGTGCCAGGCATACTTTACTAGTCCTTCTCAGGACTAGTAAACCTTCCAATCCCAATTCAAGCCATAGTTGCAGAACAGCAAGGAAAAACCACAAGAAGACGTGAGACATCGTCACACCGAAAGAAAGACATTAAAACCGCAAAGACATCAGGACGCAAATAAAACCAAGCCCCAGAGGCAGGTTGAAGCCGTCCGAGTTTTTATTTTTTTTTTATTTTAAAGGCAGGCAAGTACATAAACGATTCACTTATATGCCAGGCAAAAAAAATTGTGGAATCTATTGTTTGTGTCTTCTTTGTTCAAATTTACAACGGGTAAACATTGCTTAAGTCGCCATAAATGTAAATGATGAAACAGAAAAACAATAAATCGTGCATGCGTTATGTATAAAAAACCTTATCGTGCAGATAGAATGAGCTTGGATATTATCCAGTGAGGTAACCATTGTACTTAAGTAACTAGCTCTCTGTCTGCCGTCCCGGTGATTTGGAGTTCGAATCTCCAAGAAACTGGACATAAAAACGGATGTTGGTCACCTGGAAGATGCTTAAACATTCTGAGTGCCCGCCACCACTGAGCAAACTCTACGTTGATTGGCTCCGGCGGCTGAGACTGCCCAATGTGTAGTGATGTCGATTGTGATAACACAACCCAAACATTGCTGATTGGTCTACAGAAGTCTAGCATCATATGTCCAATACACCACTGCGGTAAATAGGAACCTTGACTTGTTACTTAACATGTTACTTGACTTGTTACTTGACTTGTTACTTGACTTGTTACCTGACTTGTTACTTGACTTGTTAACTGACTTATAACTTGACTTGTTACTTGACTTGTTACCTGACTTGTTACTTGACTTGTTAACTGACGTTTTACTTGACTTGTTAACTGACTTATAACTTGACCTGTTACTTGACTTGTTAACTGACTTGTTACTTGACGTGTTACTTGACTTGTTACTTGACTTGTTACTTGACTTCTTAACTGACCTATAACTTGACCTGTTACTTGACTTGTTAAAAGACTTGTTTACTTGATTTCTTACTTGACTTATCACTTGACCTCTAGAGTGCCAGCTATGTAACTACGCCTACGAAACTGTTGAACACCATCTCATTGAGTGCCCAAAACTCAGCGAGACTAGAAGAATGCTACTCCCTCCGAGACCAGACAAGTGGAAAACCTTTTACGGAGGAAAAGAACAGCTAGTGAAAACATGCAAATTCCATTACATGACATTGGGCCAAAGGGCGAAAGCTTATGCACTGCAGGATCGATAACAACAACAACAACAATTACCTGACCTATTACTCGAATTCTTACTTGACTTGTTACATGACTAGCCCTGCATCCAATATGACTCAAGACGTGGACAAATGTTGTTTAGTCTGAAATATTAGGACTATCTCAGGACAATGACGGGGTGGAGCACAATGCCAGGGACTATCTCAGGGCAGTGACTTGGTGAAGCACAATGCCAGGGACTATCTCAGGGCAGTGACAGGGTGGAGCACAATGTCAGGGACTATCTCAGGGCAGTGACTTGGTGAAGCACAATGCCAGGGACTATCCCAGGGCAGCGACTGGGTGGAGCACAATGCCAGGGACTATCTCAGGGCAGTGGCTGGGTGGAGCACAATGCTAGGGACTATCTCAGGGCAGCGATTGGGTGGAGCATAATGCCAGGGACTATCTCAGGGCAGTGGCTGGGTGGAGCACAATGCCAGGGACTTAGTGTGGCGCTATCTCAGGGCAGTGACTGGGTGGAGCACAATGCCAGGGACTTAGTGTGGCGCTATCTCAGCGACTAGGTGGTACTATCACAAAAGACTTCGTGGGGGACTATCTCAGGGATGGTGCAGGACTCTCTCATTGACATAGTGGGACTATCGTTTTCCTGACGTCCTCATTTACCGCTTGTGATTCGTGCTTTTATAGCTGCTTCGACCATAGACACTTTATGGTACTGTAGAGTTTCTCTGATGTTATCCTTCCATGCTGTTTTTGGTCTACCTCTTGGGACTTAGTGGGGATTATCTTAAAGACTTAGTAGAGAATTATCTCAGGGACTTATTGGTGGGATTATTTCACGGACTTAGTGGGGGGGGGGGGGATTATCTCAGGGACCTAGTGCAGGATTATCTCAGGGACTTAATGGGGGATTTTCTCAGGGACTTAGTGGGGGATTATTTCAGGGTCTTAGTGGGGATTGTCTCAAAGACTTAGTGGGGAATTATCTGGTGACACATTATGGTACTGTAGAGTTTCTCTGATGTTATCCTTCCATGTTGTTCTTGGTCTACCTATGCTCTACACCCCTTTCCTCTTTTGGTTATTGCCTTAAATGGTGCAGTATCTAAAGGTATTCTCTTTAAGTGGGCATACCATTTAATTGTGTGACCAGCTCAGGGACTTAGTGTGGGGTTATCTCAGGGACTTAGGGGGAATTATTTCAGAGACTTAGTGGGGGATTATCTCAGGGATTTAGTAGTAGATTATTTCAGAGACTTAGTGGGGGATTATCTGAGGGAATTAGTGGGGGATTATTTCAGAGACTTAGTGAGAATTATCGCAGGGACTTAGTGGGGATTATCTCAAAGACTTAGTGGGGAATTATCTCAAAGACTTAGTAGGAAATTATCTCATGGACTTATTAGTGGGATTATTTCACGGACTTAGTGGGGGGATTATCTCAGGGACTTAGTGCAGGATTATCTCAGGGACTTAATGGGGCATTTTCTCAGGAACTTTGTGGGGGATTATCTCAGGGACTTAGAGGGGATTATCTTAAAGACTTAGTGGGAAATTATCTCAAAGACTCAGTGGGGGATTATCTCAGGGACTTAATGGGGGATTATCTCACAGACTTAGTGGGGGGAATATCTCAGGGACTTAGTGCAGGATTATCTCAGGGACTTAATGGGCGATTATCTCGAAGACTTAGTGGGGAATTTTCTCAGGGACTCTGTGGGGGATTATCTCAGACTTAGTGAGGGATTATCACACAGACTTAGTAGGGGATTATCTCAGAGTGGGGGATTATCTAAGGGACTTAAGTAGGGGATTATTTCAGGGAATTAGTGGGGGATTATGTCAGAGACTTAGTAGGAGATTATATCAGGGACTTAGTTGGGGTTTTCTCGGAGACTTAGTAGGGGATTATCTCAGGGACTTAGTGGGGGATTATCTGAGGGAATTAGTGGGGGATTATTTCAGAAACTTAGTGAGAATTATCTCAGGGACTTAGTGGGGATTATCTCAAAGACTTAGTGGGGAATTATCTCAAAGACTTAGTAGAAATTATCTCAGGGACTTATTAGTGGGATTATTTCACGGACTTAGTGGGGGGATTATCTCATGGACTTAGTGCAGGATTATCTCAGGGACCTAATGGGCGATTATCTCAGAGACTTAAAGGAGAATTTTCTCAGGGACTCTGTAGGGGATTATTTGAGGGAATTAGTGGGGGATTATCTCAGAGACTTAGTGTGGAATTATCTCAGAGACTTAGTGGGGGATTATCTTAGGGACTTAGTGGTACTATCTCAAGGATTAAATAGGACTGTCTCTCTCTGAGAATTAGTTTGGGAACTATCTCAGGGACTTAGTGGACTATCTCAGGGACTTAGTGGACTATCTCAGGGACTTAGTGGACTATCTCAGGGACTTAGTGGACTATCTCAGGGACTTAGTGGTGCACTTTCATAAGGGCTTAGTGGTACTGTCTTAGGGACTTAGTGTGACTATCTTGGTGACCTAATGGGAGTATCTCAGGGACTTAGAGGGAGTATCCCAGAGACTATCTCAGGGATTAAGTGGTACCATCTCAGAAACATTGCGGGGGACTATTTTAGGGACTTTGTGGGTCTATCTTAGAAACAAAGGGTGGGGTTGGCAGAGGGCTATCTAATGGACTTTTTTGTACTATTTTATGAGTCCTTTACTTCCTTCCCTTTGACATCTTGTTATTATCTCAGTAAAGAAACTTGTAAACAGATAGATCCTGGTAAATGGAATGTTGTTTGATTAATAATAAGTTGTGTTATTTTAATTGTTGAAGAACTCACATTCATTATATCATTCATCAATAAATGTAGAAGCCAAATTACCTGCTAGATTCCCTGTATTTAACGACAGTCCATAGTAGACCAGGGCGTTGACCAGCCTGTTGATGCATGGGAAAACAACATAAAGATGTCAACAAGCAAATCAGACCACACGTTGATTTAGGGTTGATAGGAACAAACAATTAATTAGGCTTTAAATAATCCGGACTCAAACAATTCATTGCACAGTTTATTGCCAGGCATATTTCGCTGTATCTCGTCAGCATTTTTTTCGAGGCATCGTGGTTTATCTACTCGCCGGAAGTTCACCGTAGTCATGTGACTTACCAGGGTAACCTAAAATTTACTATAGATTCCGTCTGCCTGCAAAGGAGAGGTTGTACGCCAAACAAACGCCAACGCAGATTCTGACCTACCACTTTAACACAACAAAGCCCGCAGCCAATCAGGACCAACCAAGCCGCCATGACACCCAGTTACCAGCTACCAAACCAGCCCACTGATGCGAGAAAGCCCAGCAAACCAGACAGACCAGCCAGGCATGTTTAAACTCCAATCAGACTCACTCCCTCTCATTCCCGATCGAGGCCGCCCTAGGCAAACCCTACTAGTCCTTCTCAGGACTAGTAGAACATCCAATCCCAATCAAAACCAATGCAGCAAGGAACCAAAATTAGGCGAAAATATTCACCACAAGGAACCAAGAATCTAGAATCAAACCACAAAGAAACCGACTTCAATATAGCAAGCCAGCAGGCAGCTGAAGGAGGTCAAAATTTGACATTTTTGTTTCTATATCCAGCTTCCAGAAGGAGAGGTTGTTGATTTTAATTGTTTAAGTTTCAGCCATTCTCAGCAGTCGCCTGTTCGGTGTAAGATAAACCACACAGACCCTTTCTTTGTCAACTATGAAATATACCTGGTAATAAATTGTGCAATGTATTGTTTGTGTCCACATTATTTAAATTCCTTAGGGGAAGGGAAACATTGTTTCAAATGAATAACGCTGCCGGTTTTCTTAACATAGAGACAGCCACAGGCCTAAAGCTTCATGCAAATGATGAACTCTGTAGCTGTAGCAATAATTTCTTCAGATCTGTGAGATTTCCAAATGGAATTTCTGTGGAACGTCCACCGGCAGCGGTTGACAACTGGCTATGAAGCAGAACTCAAGAAGAAGTCTCTGTGAAGAGCTCGAGTCCAAGAATAAATGTCCTAGCACTGATGTTACATTTTAATGCAGCACTGGGTTTATCTTCTGTGTGATGCCATAGAGTGCTGGATTTATCTTCTGTGTGATGCCATAGAGTGCTGGATTTATCTTCTGTGTGATGCCATAGAGTGCTGGATTTATCTTCTGTGTGATGCCATCGGTGCCGGATTATCTTCTGGTGCCTGGATTTATCTTCTGTGTGATGCCATAGAGTTTATCTTCTGGATTTATTTAACTTCTGTGTGATGCCATAGAGTGCTTCTGTGTGATGCCATAGATTATCTTATCTTCTGTGTGATGCCATAGAGTGCTGGATTTATCTTCTGTGTGTGATGCCATTAGAGTGCTGGATTTATCTTCTGTGTGATGCCATAGAGTGCTGGATTTATCTTCTGTGTGATGCCATAGAGTGCTGGATTTAACTTCTGTGTGATGCCATAGAGTGCTGGATTTATCTTCTGTGTGATGCCATAGAGTGCTGGATTTATCTTCTGTGTGATGCCATAGAGTGCTGGATTTATCTTCTGTGTGATGCCATCAGTGCTGGATATATCTTCTGTGTGATGCCATCGGTGCTGGAAATATCTTCTGTGTGATGCCATCGGCGCTGGATTTATCTTCTGTGTGATGCCATCAGTGCTGGATTTATCTTCTGTGTGATGCCATAATGCTGGATTTATCTTCTGTGTGATGCCATAGAGTGCTGAATTAATCTTCTGTGTGATGCCATAGAGTGCTGGATTTATCTTCTGTGTGATGCCATAGAGTGCTGCTGGATAGAGTTTGGATTTCTCTCTGTGTGATGCCATAGAGTGCTGGATTTATCTTCTGTGTGATGCCATAGAGTGCTGGATTTATCTTCTGTGTGATGCCATAGAGTGCTGGATTTATCTTCTGTGTGATGCCATTAGTGCTGGATTTATCTTCTGTGTGATGCCATTAGTGCTGGATTTATCTTCTGTGTGATGCCATAGAGTGCTGGATTTATCTTCTGTGTGATGCCATAGAGTGCTGGATTTATCTTCTGTGTGATGCCATAGAGTGCTGGATTTATCTTCTGTGTGATGCCATCAGTGCTGGATATATCTTTTGTGTGATGCCATCGGTGCTGGAAATATCTTCTGTGTGATGCCATCGGCGCTGGATTTATCTGATCTGTGTGGATTTATCTTCTGATGCCATCAGTGCTGGATTTATCTTCTGTGTGATGCCATAGATCTTCTGTGTGATGCTGAATTTTATCTTTGTGATGTGTGGTGCCATCGTGTGCCGGTGGATTTATCTTCTGTGTGATGATGAGTGCATTTAGAGTGCTGGATTTATCTTCTGTGTGATGCCATAGAGTGCTAGATTTATCTTCTGTGTGATGCCATCAGTCCTGGATTTATCTTCTGTGTGATGCCATCAGTCCTGGATTTATTTTCTGTGTGATGCCATAGAGTGCTGGATATATCTTCTGTGTGATGCCATCCGTGCTGGCTTTATCTTCTGTGTGATGCCACCCGTACTGGATTTATCCTCTGTGTGATGCCATCTGTGCTGGATATATCTTCTGTGTGATGCCATCTGTGCTGGATTTATCTTCTGTGTGATGCCATCTGTGCTGGATATATCTTCTGTGTGATGCCATCCGTGCTGGCTTTATCTTCTGTGTGATGCAACCCGTACTGGATTTATCTTCTGTGTGATGCCACATGGTGCTGGCAGTCAGCCAGATTACAAGTTGGCACAACTGAACACAGTCTAGTGTTCAAGAATGATGCATCCCCAATTTACTCTTCTGAATTAAAAACGACAAAAATAAGGCAGCTTAGTTTATTTCATTATCTAATACTGATTCATATATGATAAAAGGTGCTGGACAGGGATAAACAACAACAAACAAAAAGTCGACATTTTCCAGACAAATACAAATATCCACTTCCTGAAATGGGAGAGACCATTCACTTCTCCACTGATGTGATTTTTTTACAACCAGCAGTAAAGTGACGGGTAGGCTGCCATCAGTCGGGATGTTGTTGTTGTTGTGTGCGCCTGCGTGCTTGCGGAGGGACGTGTGTCCCCTTCGATGCATTGGAGATATTGTACTTTAGGAACCACATCTTCATTTTGTTATGGATGTTTGATTTATCAAGTTTTGGGAAATTGTGATATCATACAGTGTGTTAGAGTATTTGTCGTTCTAGACCTCGTGGTTTTTGTATGTTGTACATTTGCTAAACAATTAAAATCAAACATATGGGAAATGTACACACTAACAGAGTAATTACATTGTAACGCGCACTGCGTTGTAAGCAATATGTTACAACTGTCTCCCCATCGATGGCAATCATTTCTTTACCAGAATTGTAACGCCCTGGTCTAGGCAGGTAAAATGTTTTAGCAGAAATGCAATAAAAAATACAAATTTTTTTCAACAATTTGAAATGAAAACTGCGGTTTGATGTATCAGTATGTTTGTTTGAAAAAAAAAATCAAAACATGATTATTTTTGTGTGGTTTGTAAATGCGTGCGTGATTAGGTTGCTGGGCTGTTAGCTGGTGCTGCATGTAGACAGACAGGCTGATGTGTAGTTGTGTCGTTAGATAGTTTTTGTGTAGTCAGGCGGTTGTATAGATAGGCTTTTGTGTATTTAAGCTGTTGTGTAGTTAGGAAGTTGTGTAGTCAGGCTATTGTGTAGTTAGGTAGTTGTGTAGTTGTGTAGTTAGGTAGTTGTGTAGTTAGGTTGTTGTGTAGTTAGGTAGTTGTATAATTAGGTAGTTGTGTAGTTGTGTAGTTGTGTAGTTAGGTAGTTGTGTAGTTAGATAGTTGTGTAGTTAGGTAGTTGTGTAGTTGTGTAGTTAGGTAGTTGTGTAGTTAGGTTGTTGTGTAGTTAGGTAGTTGAGTAGTTAGGTTGTTGTGTAGTTGTGTAGTTAGGTAGTTGTGTAGTTAGGTAGTTGTGTAGTTAGGTAGTTGTGTAGTTAGGTAGTTGTATAGTTAGGTAGTTGTGTAGTTGGGTAGCTGTGTAGTTAGGTTGTTGTGTAGTTGAGTAGTTGTGTAGTTAGGTAGTTGTGTAGTTAGGTAGTTGTATAGATAGGTAGTTGTGTAGTTAGGTAGTTGTGTAGTTAGGTTGTTGTGTAGTCAGGCTATTGTGTAGTTAGGTAGTTGTGTAGTTAGGTTGTTGTGTAGTTAGGTAGTTGTGTAGTTAGGTAGTTGTGTAGTTAGGTTGTTGTGTAGTTGGGTAGTTGTGTAGTTAGGTAGTTGTGTAGTTAGGTTGTGTGTAGTGAGGCTGTTTTGTATTTACATAAATAAACAGAAGGGGGACCTCCTCTGTTTATTAATATGAAGGACGTGTAACACAACGGAACCTACCAATCAAATGTATTTCCTAAATGTTCGTGTTTTCTAGACAAAGCTTTACGTTTTGCTGAGCTCGTAAATTGTTGCTGTTTTTGTAATTCGACCGATGCTCCGTTAATATATTGATGTAACCTATGGTGCCATTTAAATGGTTTGCGGTAAATTCTATCTGTATTCCATAGTTGTGGATTTCAACAGTACGATATACATCCAATGAAAACACTTGGGGGAGGGGGAGGCGGGGATGCCTAGCTGGTTGTATTCTAAGTACCCATGTTTCCATAGCGAGGCGCACACGCCATCTGAAGGTGACAGGTTCCCGCCATAGTAACTACAGTTTTCGATTTTTATGTTGTCTAGTGTGTCCTTCTGACTTTCTACTTCTTTGTATGAGTGACGATCAAGACATCGTTTCTTTGTAAAATTATATATTTAATGATTTATAATTAGGCTGTTTTGCATTTAGGCTGTTTTGTAGTTAGGCTGTATGGTATTTAGGTATTTTAGCTTAATGTGTATGCAAGTGTGTAGGTTTGCAGGCGATGTGGACAGTGAATTTACTAACGAAAGAGTACACACCCATTTATATACACACACAGTTATTCACACACAGTAACAGAGACTGTAATAGAGCGTGTAGAGAGATAGAAAAAGTGAGCGTGGGAAGAAAAAAGGCAAAAGAAAAGTGTGTGAGTGTGGGTGTGTGTATATGCGCGTGTGAACAAGAGAGGGAGAGAGACTCACACAGAAAGACAGAAACACAGAAAGACAGACATACCGAAAACAGAGATAAAGAATTGGATATCAGAGATGATTTAAAATACTCGCAGTCAAGCAGCACTGACCAGTTAAACCAAATGTTGAGGGACAGTCTGGCCATCTTCCAGTTGTTGACCAGGTCCAGAAAGTAATACTGGCGGCCCTCAGTCACTGGCTGAGCATGCTTCAGCGACTCAATGATATCGCTGTTCAGAGTCACACCGTTCTCTTTGGCAGCCGCCCTCAGGATGTCTTCGGCTTCGGCGTCCTTGCCATGAGAGATCAGCCATCTGACCGATTCCGGTAGGAACCTGGGAAAACAGTCATTAGTGCACTGTTCATGATCAACTGACCACACGTCACTTGCATGTAACCCAGGTACTGTTTGTTCTGTTTACGATTAGCTGGCTATAAACAGATTTTTTGTTTGTTCTCTTCTTTTCTTTCTTTCGTCTGCTCCTTTTCTGTTGTCTCTTTGCCTTGTCCTCTTTCTCTTGCCACAACGTCTGCTGTTTCTCTTCCTTGTACTTCTTTTTTCTTCACTGGAAAGTGTCTCATGCATCTTCTAATTCAGGGTTTGGTGTCAACAACTTCGTGAGGTGAACAGAGCCATTTTCAGCCAGATGGGACCTAATTCGGGACACTGAAAAGTAGATCCTTTAATTCAGGCCTATCTTTAAAGATAACATCTTTCAGAAGTGGTGATGTCCATCTCGTAAAAAAGGACCACTTTTTCCTTTTGATTCTCTGTCTGGTCTCTATATTTCTCTTCTGCCATGTACACGCCTGTTCCACCGAAGTCGCAACGCTTCTTGCGAAATGATCAAACACCTGCCAAGCCCTAATTGCTTAGCTCACTGTCAGATACACTCAGTAACTTTTTGTCTGTCCCACTGCCAGATACACTCAGTAACCCTTTATCTATCTGACTGTCAGGTACACTCAGTAACCCTTTATCTATCTGACTGTCAGGTACACTCCGTAACCCTTTATCTATCTGACTGTCAGGTACACTCAGTAACGCTTGTCTACCTCACTGTCAGGTACACTCAGTAACGCTAGTCTACCTCACTGTCAGGTACACTCAGTAACGCTTATCTACCTCACTGTCAGATACACTCAGTAACGCTTGTCTATCTCACTGTCAGATACACTCAGTAACGCTTGTCTACCTCACTGTCAGATACACTCAGTAACGCTTGTCTACCTCACTGTCAGGTACACTCAGTAACGCTTGTCTACCTCACTGTCAGATACACTCAGTAACGCTTGTCTACCTCACTGTCAGATACACTCAGTAACGCTTGTCTACCTCACTGTCAGATACACTCAGTAACGTTAGTCTACCTCACTGTCAGATACACTCAGTAACGCTAGTCTATCTCACTGTCAGGTACACTCAGTAACGCTTGTCTACCTCACTGTCAGGTACACTCAGTAACGCTAGTCTACCTCACTGTCAGATACACTCAGTAACGCTTGTCTACCTCACTGTCAGATACACTCAGTAACGCTTGTCTACCTCACTGTCAGATACACTCAGTAACGCGTGTCTACCCCACTGTCAGATACACTCAGTAACGCCTGTCTACCTCACTGTCAGATACACTCAGTAACGTTAGTCTACCTCACTGTCAGATACACTCAGTAACGCTTGTCTACCTCACTGTCAGGTACACTCAGTAACGCTTGTCTACCTCACTGTCAGATACACTCAGTAACGCTTGTCTACCTCACTGTCAGGCAGATACACTCAGTAACGCTTGTCTACGTCACTGTCAGGTACACTCAGTAACGCTTGTCTATATCACTGTCAGATACACTCAGTAACGCTTGTCTATATCACTGTCAGATACACTCAGTAACGCTAGTCTACCTCACTGTCAGATACACTCAGTAACGTTAGTCTACCTCACTGTCAGATACACTCAGTAACTCTTGTCTACCTCACTGTCAGGTACACCCAGTAACGCTAGTCTACCTCACTGTCAGATACACTCAGTAACGCTAGTCTACCTCGCTGTCAGATACACTTAGTACCGCTAGTCTACCTCGCTGTCAGATACACTTAGTAACGCTAGTCTACCTCGCTGTCAGATACACTCAGTAACGCTTGTCTATCTCACTGTCAGATACACTCAGTAACGCTAGTCTACCTCACTGTCAGATACACCCAGTAACGCTAGTCTACCTCACTGTCAGATACACTCAGTAACGCTAGTCTACCTCGCTGTCAGATACACTTAGTAACGCTAGTATACCTCACTGTCAGATACACCCAGTAACGCTAGTCTACCTCACTGTCAGATACACTCAGTAACGCTAGTCTACCTCGCTGTGAGATACACTTAGTAACCCTTTATCTCAGTAAGACTTTGTCTCAGTTGTGTAACTTTGCCATGCAGAAACTGAACACAATCTTTCAGTCTGCAGGGTTTCTAAGTTATGATAGTTCCTTCTTCTTGGAGAGTTTTATCCCTTCTATTTTCTGACGATTTCCTGAAATTATGACCCTCATTTGTCCCCGTCTGCAATTATTTAATCCCCTCAGTTTTACAGAAATCATGAAAACTAAGTTCTTTCACCAAAACTTCTGCCGCCTAAACATTCAAATGTATCATAAATGATTTATTCAGGCCTACATGGAAGAGACTTGTGTAATCGTTTGACTCTACAAAGGAACACCAGTGATTCAGCTGCGAGACAGCAGACAGCTTGGAAGAGAGATTTTGCTGGCAGAGGAAAATGGGCGAAATGCGAATCATGTTGCAACTAGGCGCCTTCAGTATGGGAACTCTTCGTTGGCTACTGGGGACAAGGACGGAGCACTTATGGGAATGCCCTGAGTGCAGTGATGTCAGTTCTTGATTTATTCATGTATTCACCAGAGGAGCGTGGGGCAATGCTGTCGTGTTTCCCTTGAGTCGACCATTAGAACAGGTTGTTGTTGTGACTGCCAATATGTTTCAGTCAACAGTCACATGACTCTAGCGTGGCTGAATCTGCTTCACTTAGCACACATCAGCTTATCCACAAACAATGGCCCTACTACAATGATTTCCGTCGACAGGAGCAGCGCCGCAACCTGGCGGTTTCAGTATCTAAGGAATTTAGACAACGTTTAAAGCCCCCCCCCCCCCCAACTGTCTACTTCAACCACAAATATAGATTATCTTTCAAAGTTTTCGATTACACGCATCATACTATAATATATTCTTAGTTATTAGCCCTTCAGCAAATTAATATTATTATTATTATTATTATTCATTATTATTATTACTATTAGTTATTATTATTAAGCACTTAAACAAGGCTTAAACACCCTCTGTACTGTAGCCCTTCATAATCGGCTGATTTAACATAGACTGTAGTGTGCACTTTTCTTTTGTGTATCTATTAATCTGTATCTATTGTATTAGTATCTATATTTGTGTGTATCTATTTTGTTTGTATATGTTATGTGCATTTATCTTATTCGGTCATTTCTAGAAGAAAAAAAAAAAAAAAAAAAAGCTGCACATTTGAGCCCAAGATCTTCAGGTCGGGCTCGGACTAGCCACTAGACTAGAGCGGCTGTCCAAGTCTGCTACATCACCGTCATCAAGTGCCTTGCCAACAGACGTGAGCGATCATGCCTCTGTACAATCTGCGAGCTACAGCTTGTATCAGTCCGTGAGTTGACAACCCTCCATTCTATGACAACAATTGTCTTTCCTCTGTTGATTATTCCAGAGATCGTTCCACTAGTCACCACCTTTACCAGTTCTCCTCTTCAAATATAGTAAACAAAATTATATGGGGATGTATGTATCGATACCTACCACCAGTAGATCCCAAAGAGCAAAGTCGGAGCAGTAATCGCCATCTCCAAGTATCGCCAATCCCTGACGAAGTAAGCGATACCAGCCAGAGACATGAAGCCGATACTGTAGAAGCCTTGGATGACGAAACCGGCCAGTGTCCGATAATTAGGCCCCACCAGTTCCGTGGCTGGGGAGAGACAAGGTATGACAGTGTGAGCTATAGTAGGGGACATTTAGACAGCTGTGTCTGGGGAGAGACAAGGTATGACAGTGTGAGCTATAGTAGGGGTCATTTAGACAGCTGTGTCTGTGGCTGGGGAGAGACAAGGTATGACAGTGTGAGCTATAGTAGGGGACATTTAGACAGCTGTGTCTGGGGAGAGACAAGGTATGACAGTGTGAGCTATAGTAGGGGTCATTTAGACAGCTGTGTCTGTGGCTGGGGAGAGACAAGGTATGACAGTGTGAGCTATAGTAGGAGACATTTAGACAGATGTGTCTGGGCCTGGGGAGAGACAAGGTATGACAGTGTGAGCTATAGTAGGGGACATTTAGACAAATGTGGCTGGGGAGAGAGAAGGTATGACAGTGTGAGCTATAGTAGGAGACATTTAGACAAATGTGGCTGGGCCTGGGGAGAGACAAGGTATGACAGTGTGAGCTATAGTAGGGGACATTTAGACAAATGTGGCTGGGGAGAGAGAAGGTATGACAGTGTGAGCTATAGTAGGAGACATTTAGACAAATGTGGCTGGGGAGAGACAAGGTATGGCAGTGTGAGCTATAGTAGGGGACATTTAGACAGATGTGTCCGTGGCTGGGGAGAGACAAGGTATGGCAGTGTGAGCTATAGTAGGAGACATTTAGACAGATGTGTCTGTGGCTGGGGAGAGACAAGTGATGTCAGTGTAGATTATAGTAGGGGACATTTAGACAGCTGTGTCTGTGGCTGGGGAGAGACAAGGTATGACAGTGTGAGCTATAGTAGGAGACATTTAGACAGATGTGTCCGTGGCTGGGGAGAGACAAGGTATGACAGTGTGAGCTATAGTAGGGGTCATTTAGACAGATGTGTCTGTGGCTGGGGAGAGACAAGTGATGTCAGCGTAGATTATAGTAGGAGACATTTAGACAGATGTGTCTGTGGCTGGGGAGAGACAAGTGATGTCAGCGTAGATTATAGTAGGAGACATTTAGACAGATGTGTCTGTGGCTGGGGAGAGACAAGGTATGACAGCGTGAACTATAGTAGGAGACATTTAGACAGATGTGTCCGTGGCTGGGGAGAGACAAGGTATGACAGTGTGAACTATAGTAGGAGACATTTAGACAGCTGTGTCCGTGGCTGGGGAGAGACAAGTGATGTCAGCGTAGATTATAGTAGGAGACATTTAGACAGATGTGTCTGTGGCTGGAGAGAGACAAGGTATGACAGTGTGAACTATAGTAGGAGACATTTAGACAGATGTGTCCGTGGCTGGGGAGAGACAAGGTATGACAGTGTGAACTATAGTAGGAGACATTTAGACAGCTGTGTCCGTGGCTGGGGAGAGACAAGGTATGACAGTGTGAGCTATAGTAGGAGACATTTAGACAGATGTGTCCGTGGCTGGGGAGAGACAAGGTATGACAGTGTGAGCTATAGTAGGGGTCATTTAGACAGATGTGTCCGTGGCTGGGGAGAGACAAGTGATGTCAGCGTGAATTATAGTAGGGGACATTTAGACAGCTGTGTCCGTGGCTGGGGAGAGACAAGGGATGTCAGCGTGAATTATAGTAGGGGACATTTAGACAGCTGTGTCTGTGGCTGGGGAGAGACAAGGTATGACAGTGTGAGCTATAGTAGGGGTCATTTAGACAAATGTGTCTGTGGCTGGGGAGAGACAAGGTATGACAGTGTGAGCTATAGTAGGGGTCATTTAGACAAATGTGTCTGTGGCTGGAGAGAGACAAGGTATGACAGTGTGAGCTATAGTAGGGGTCATTTAGACAAATGTGTCTGTGGCTGGAGAGAGACAAGGTATGGCAGTGGGAGCTATAGTAGGGGACATTTAGACAGCTGTGTCTGTGGCTGGGGAGAGACAAGGTATGGCAGTGTGAGCTATAGTAGGGGACATTTAGACAGATGAGCTTGTGACTGGTGGAGAGAAGGTATGACAGTGTGAGGTATAGTAGGGGACATTTAAACAGGGGATATTTAGACAGATGTGTCTGTGGGTGGGGGGGGGGGAGAAATGTGGGTGGGGGGGGGGGAGATATGACAGTGTGAGTTTGTGACAGTAGAGAAATTTAGACAGATGAGGCCGTTACTGATTGGTTGGGATGTGTATTACTGTGTGATTGTGGTAAAAAGCATTCAGACAGACGAGTCTATGGATAGGATGAAGAAGGGCTCTGAGTGAGAGAACAATTATGGTAGAGGATAAAGTTTCCTGAATCCAGTCTGGAGATACGTATAAACATGTACCACCGGACCCGTGTTAACTCCTGCCAGATACGTGTTAACTCCTACCGGACACGTGTTAACTCCTGCCGGACACGTGTTAACTCCTACCGGACACGTGTTAACTCCTGCCGGACACGTGATAACTCTTGCCGGACACGCGTTAACTCTTGCCGGACACGCGTTAACTCCTGCCAGCTGGAGGACTAACTCGACTTCCCTCTGCCTATGGCTAATCTACAGAATGTTATTGGAAATATCCTCCTAAAGTGCCTTTTCCACTTTTGTCGGCCATCCTGCATATCCATATCCTGCAACCGTAAATATAAGGTAGTTTGTGTGTTAGCAGACTCCCGTGCCAGGACAAAAACCTTGTCCGGGATCTTCTCTCCTTGTCTTTCCATATCTATCTATCTATCCATAAATATGGGAGGAGGATGAAGAAAGTTACATAAATATGTCCAGTTGTAACATACTGTCTCTTCTCATAATGTCCCTAAAACAAATTTCACTTCAAAGGAAATATACGCTAAATCAAATTTAAATCAAGCTGCAATATTTACATGACCAAATGTGGCTGCCAGTGGACTTGCAAGTATTGTCCTGTAAACGTGCTTTCATGAGACTCGGTGTGACTTCAGGCTTGCTTATTAATGTTATCAGACAGAATTCATAGCGACACTTCAGAGCTGGTTCTATTAGATATGATGTAACATTTTCTTGTCTTTTTGTGTTTCAGTGGGAAACTAAATAGCAGCCTGTTGGGGTACAAATCATCACAATATTCAAAGATAGCATACTAGATACGACATATAACATATAACAATATTTTACCGTAATACAATATTTATATATATTTAAAAAAAAAAAAAGTACCAACACAAGGTGTAGGAGACCAGAAAGGCGCCGGTGTGTGCAGCCCCTTGGCAGAAGTAAGCGGGCAGGAACACGTACATGTTGGGGGCAAACGAGGCCAAGGTCCCAGCAATCACCAATAATATACATCCCAGGAAAAACATGGGTCGTCGCCCATACCTGTTGATGTACAATCATACACGACAATCATATACAACAATCATGCACAACAAACAATTACAAAAACGGTGACTAACATAAAAAAAAAAAAAAACTTTCTGTCAGTTGGCGGTATTCAGTTCTACTTTGTTGTCCGGGGATTCCGACACTAGTGAATTCATGTTTCAAGAACCTACAACGTTAATGTGGTTGTATCAGTCCCTTTTAGTTTGTGTGTGTTATGACAAGTCTTTCTGAACTGAGACGTTCATTCTGTCTCCTGTTGCTGTTTTGATCAAGCTGACCAGATCTACTTGTTTGAGTCAACTGGCTGTCAATTCTGGTAGAAATTCCCATATGTTCGTCCACTTCTTGATGTTAGGTCTTTTCCACAATTTGAGTTTTGCAGGCACATTCGTTTTATAAGTTTATTCGGACTCAGACTGATGGTTCCCCGCCACTCTGGGAGAATCTCTCGGACCTGGATAGTGAACATGAGGCGGAGAACAAGACATGCAGTGTCGCTAACCAATGACTGACCGACATGACACTAGTCGAGCTTACCTGTCCGACAGCTGGCCAAAGATAACTGCCCCAACAAGTCGGCCAACGAAGAAGACAGACTTGGATGTGCTAATCCAGAATTTGTTGTTACAGACCAGGTCGAACTGTGGACGAACATGTTAGACATACAGGCGAGGACAAGATCAGCCATAAGCACACAGACGGAAAACATTAAACAGAACACCAGTCAGACAGTCACAGGAAAACAACACACAACACAGACAGAACATTAAACAGAACACCAGTCAGACGGTCACCGGAAAACAACACACAACACAGACAGAACATTAAACAGAACACCAGTCAGACGGTCACCGGAAAACAACACACAACACAGACAGAACATTAAACAGAACACCAGTCAGACGGTCACCGGAAAACAACACACAACACAGACAGAACATTAAACAGAACACCAGTCAGACGGTCACCGGAAAACAACACACAACACAGACAGAACATTAAACAGAACACCAGTCAGACGGTCACCGGAAAACAACACAGACACAGAACATTAAACAGAACACCAGTCACATAGTCACCGGAAAACAACACAGAACATTAAACAGAACACCAGTCACATAGTCACCGGAAAACAACACAGAACATTAAACAGAACATCAGTCAGACGGTCACCGGAAAACAACACAGACACAGAACATTAAACAGAACACCAGTCAGACAGTCACCGGAAAACAAAACAGAACATTAAACAGAACACCAGTCACACAGTCACCGGAAAACAACACAGAACATTAAACAGAACACCAGTCACACAGTCACCGGAAAACAACACAGAACATTAAACAGAACACCAGTCACACAGTCACCGGAAAACAACACAGAACATTAAACAGAACACCAGTCACACAGTCACCGGAAAACAACACAGAACATTAAACAGAACACCAGTCACACAGTCACGGGAAACAACACAGAACATTAAACAGAACACCATTTACACAGTCACCGGAAAACAACACAGAACATTAAACAGAACACCAGTCACCGGAAAACAACACAGAACATTAAACAGAACACCAGTCACACAGTCACCGGAAAACAACACAGACACAGAACATTAAACAGAACACCAGTCACACAGTCACCGGAAAACAACAGAGAACATTAAACAGAACACCAGTCACATAGTCACCGGAAAACAACAGAGAACATTAAACAGAACACCAGTCACACAGTCACCGGAAAACAACAGAGAACATTAAACAGAACACCAGTCACATAGTCACCGGAAAACAACAGAGAACATTAAACAGAACACCAGTCACACAGTCACCGGAAAACAACAGAGAACATTAAACAGAACACCAGTCAGACGGTCACCGGAAAACAACACAGACACAGACCATTAAACAGAACACCAGTCAGACGGTCACCGGAAAACAACACAGACACAGACCATTAAACAGAACACCAGTCACACAGTCACCGAAAAACAACACAGAACATTAAACAGAACACCAGTCAGACGGTCACCGGAAAACAACACAGACACAAAACATTAAACAGAGCATTACTGAAATCCAACCTGGAAACTTAAATTGATGGCAAAGCCGACTATAGCCTTAACTGGCAGCTGGTCTAGAAGGGAAGCTCCGACAGCGACAATCAAGAGCCCTGCTTTGACTGACTGACTTCCCACCAGGACATCACACAAGCGATAAACACCCGATGACACAATGTGCCACCATGTGAATGAGGATCACTGTGGAGAGGTCCCAGAAACCGCGTTCAGCCATTAGGCTATATTGCGGCCCCTATCATGAGCCAGAGTAGGGCTTCAAATAACGAAAAAAAAGGACGGCAAGATTGGGTATTCCAACAGTCCAGCTCTTTTAATTCCACAGTTTTTACAGGCGTGCTTCATTCCAAACATATTTTTAAAAATTATTTACAATTTTTGGTTACAATTTAGTTTTACTACCATTGCTGCTGTTGGTGCTGCTGCTTCTGCTACTACGACTACGTTAACATTACTACTGTTGGTGCTGCTCCTGCTGCTACTACGACTACTGTTAACATTACTACTGTTGGTGCTGCTGCTTCTGCTACTACGACTACGTTAACATTACTACTGTTGGTGCTGCTGCTTCTGCTACTACGACAACGTTAACATTGCTACTGTTGGTGTTGCTGCTTCTGCTACTACGACTACTGTTAACATTACTACTGTTGGTGCTGCTGCTCCTGCTACTACGACTACTGTTAACATTACTACTGTTGGTGCTGCTGCTTCTGCTACTACGACTACTGTTAACATTACTACTGTTGGTGCTGCTGCTTCTGCTACTACGACTACTGTTAACATTACTGCTGTTGGTGCTGCTGCTTCTGCTACTACGACTATTGTTAACATTACTGCTGTTGGTGCTGCTGCTCCTGCTACTACGACTACTGTTAACATTACTGCTGTTGGTGCTGCTGCTCCTGCTACTACGACTACTGTTAACATTACTACTGTTGGTGCTGCTGCTCCTGTTACTACGACTACTGTTAACATTACTACTGTTGGTGCTGCTGCTCCTGCTACTACGACTACTGTTATCATTACTGCTGTTGATGCTGCTAGAATATTGCTGTTCTTGTTGTTGTTTATAGTGTTGCTTCTTTTGATGCTGTTCTTGTTATACCTTTATGTTCACCAAAAGACTGTCGTCTTCCTTCCTGCAATATTCAAAAGTGACAAACAAGGTTTACCCTGAAAGTAACTGGACGAGCGCTGTAGTTTCGCGCATGCGCCGTGTCTGTGGAAATATGTGGCTGGGTTGGGTGGTTGAAGGTATTAGCGTTGCAACCAGTCCCTGTTGTCGACAAGCAGTCGGAGCTTGCGGATCGTGGAAGTAGTGGATCCCTGTACGAGTAACGTGTCACAAAAAATGGAACCTTCCAGTGTTCAAGCCGACCGACAGTATTTAACTGGCATAAGGCCTTTAGGGAGGGAGAGAAGATAGTGAGACGAGAGATGGGTGGGTCGACCTTTCATCACCAAAACAAAGGAAATCGTGAACCTGTGAGGGACAGTTTGAACAATGATAGACGAAAGAGTGTGCGATTAATCTCGGAGAAACTAAGTTTGGAAAACAAAGCAAGTTAACAAAATTTTGATGCAAGAATTGGTAATGCCAAAAGTGTGTACACAGTTTGTGCCAAAAGTGCTGACAGCAAAACGAAGCAGACCGTGTGACAAATTCTAAATCAAAAATATTTGAGCGCGTGGAAGTACAGCCAAACGTTTTGCGGAATGTGATCACAAGAGACGAATCCTGGATTTTTGAGTACGATCCAGAGACCAAACAAAAAGCAAATTTCCAAATGCCACCGGTAAGGGTCATCCCGCCCGAGAAAGGCCAGCATGAGCAAATCAAACATCAAAACAATGCAACTGTGTTTTCACATGACACTTCACTCGTACTGTGCTCCATTACTTCCATGATCCGCATGCTCCAACTGCTTGTCGACAACTGGAACTTGTTTCAACGAGAAGCTCACACCCTCAACCACACACCCAACCACAGATTTCCCCACCCACGGCGCATGCGCAAAACTACAGCGCTGGTCCAATTACATTCAGGACAAACCCTGTATGAGTTTTAACATGTCCACAAGAGAAGAAGAATTATTGTCCTCTTCAGCGGGCAACTTTCTGGTGAAGACAGTGATAGTGACGATAATGTTGATGGAGACAACACGGATGGTGATATAGATAATGATGGTGCTGATTATAAGGATGTAAAATTAGGGGAGTATGAAAGTGAAAACTGACCTCAGATGTAATAGTATCCTGATAATCCACCCTAGAGAACTCATATCCATTGACACATGGTGTTAAGCGGTTGGTTTTGTTCCACACGTTTGACGAGCTAGCATTATAATCTAATTCTATGATGGTTAGCTCCTCCAGCGTGACGTTCAACTGAAAGCACTTCTCCCCTTTCGGAATCACCAGTCTCTTGAGCTGCCTATAGGAGAGATTGTGTAAGGATGTACCTGAGAGATTGTACTGTGATAACCGGCAGTGGAAGTCGGGCACTGCGCCGATAAAAACCATGTTCAGCGCGTGCCAGGCCGAGACTATGGCAAACATGCAAATCATGAAGAATCGGGTTTTCTGGTAGCGACCAAACTCGCCCAGAACTTTCATGAGGTCGTCAAAGTTCATCGTCACCGTTGGGCAGCCTGGAGAAATAAACCAGAAAGATTTGAGACGATAATCTTGGACATTATAGAATGGAATAAATCACAATGGAACAGGATATATCAGAGAAGCATAAAATTGTATATACCATAGGGGTCTAGTCACCAACATAGACGATGGTGTAACAGTGCGGGATAGCCGAGAGTTTCACTACAAAACATTCTCATTGCAATACCTTACACGTGCGAGTTGTCTCTTTAACTACACAATATGTGTTACACATTCATGTTGTTGTTTGTAATTATAGTTGTTTCTAAAATCTCATAACTCTTATCACCATGAAGTGCTTTGCCGACTAGCGTGGGCGATCATGCCTGACCAGAATCTGCCATCTTCAACAGCATGTATCAGTTCGTATATTGATAAAAGGCTGTCAAGAGACTTCTCGCCTGTCTTACTATGCCTCTTTTTCCACAGATCTTCCCACCGGCCACAACATGCTCCAGTTTTCTTCTTCTCATAACATGACCCAAAAATGATGACTGTCTCTTTCTGATGTTTGTGATAAGTAATCTTCGAGCCCTCACCTCGTTCAAAATATACGGGTTTTTTTTTTTTTTTAGCTATCCCATGAACTCTAAGGATTCTTATGTAAAATCACATATCCAAGGCCTCAAGAAATTGATTGGAATGCTTAGTAACTGTCCAGGATTCACCGCCATATGTAAGAACTTGCTCCTTATAACAGCACATTTATAAATGTAAATATGATAAACAATGTTGCATCTGTAAAAGTCATTCTTCTCTAGAATTGTTTGTTTCAGCTCCTACCGCATCTGCAGCTACAGTGATACGAACAGACAACAGGGCTTGAGCAGTAGGCTGACTTTGTTTGAAAGTAGAAGAGCTTCCCAATGCACCGCTGATATGACTCTGTTTTCTCTAGTGCAACACGATTGACATATATGCTGGGTCTCGTCTGTTAGTGCATTTGTTTACACTGTCTGGGGGGGCAGACATCTTGTCTGCAGGTCACGCTGCCCCAGGGGTGCTGCCGCAAAGACATCACTGGGGGAAGGGGCGGCTCAGCTTTCTTATAATGTTGTGTGTTAAATGTTGAATTAAATATCGACATCACAGCACAGGGGACACTCCCAGGAGCGCCCAGTCCCTATCTTTAGCAGCAAGCGAAGATTGTATATCCGTCTCACCATGAGTGTTGAACGTTGGCCAGATACCCTGGTAACTCCTTGCAGCGCCATTCTCCTCTGACCGTAATGACCTATATGTGCCTCTGCACAGTTCACTCACTTCCAAAGGAAGCTCACAATATCTAGCGTCTCATTAATTAATTCAATAGAAAAAATATCTGAAGCACATAATGGTCTAGGGGCTAGGGCCTCGAAGAGCCTCAACCTTGTTTAAGCTGACAGTAATAATAATATTATTTTCATTACTATCACAAATCTCTGCTGAATAACAGATGTGAAATAATCCTACGTGAATTATAAACAAATAATTAAGAGAACGTCTATACATGTTTGAAGCGGTGTGTGTAACTGTGCGTGCGGGCATGCGTGGGTGCATGCCTGTGTGTGTGTGTGTGTAGGGCCCATGTGGGTGTCTGTATGCGTGTGTGTCTGTCTGTTTGTGCGTGTGTATGTAGGGGAAGAGGGTGCTCAGCCTTACTGCAAATGTTCTAAAGGTGGCAGTACAGAATAATATAAATGTAAGCACCCAATCTACGTTCGCCAATGTGTTGGCAGTCTTTTTTTTTTAAAGTGGAAATGAAACAAGGATACTAGTAACGTTTTCCGCAACAGGTACACCGTGATTGGTCCATCATTCATGCTTGGTAACCTTTCACACGCGCGACACTCTGTTACAGGGGTGTCAGGTTGTGTTGTCTTCGACACGATGTGACCACTTTCAACAACCCCGCAACATCTACAACTGGCCCTAACCCAAACTCCCCTACCCCACAGCCTAAGCCTATGTCCTACGAGAGACTGCAGCCTACGTAACGTGTTTTCAGAATTGTTAACATTTTGCGCTTTCTCCTAAAAAGCAGTCTTGCTGCAGAAAAGCACCGCTGCCGTTCTTTTCACTCGTCAACGCTGACAACTGAAGTAATTTCATGTTGCACTTGAAAGCCGAGAAGGCAATAATATACACAATGTCACCAGCCGTTCACAACAACGAGTAAAACACAACGTGTGGCTAGCCACCCACGACAAGACGCGCAATATTGAAATCTGATTATCTAAGACAACACAATCTGACACTCCTGTAACAGAGAGTCGCGTGTGTGAAAGGTCACGGGGCATAAATTAACGGCCAATCACGGTGTGAGATTGGGAAGGAAAACATTACTAGCAATGAAAAAGGTCAAATGTCACATTCAGTGGTTGCATGTTCAGGAGGGGGGAAAAGTATAAACAACGGAAACGGACATTGGCCAAATAATTAAAATCTTCAGTGGGCACGGCACATGACCCAGATATAAGCTACACGATAAGACAAGACGCTAATGGTACGGGCTAAAAACAAGTCAGCCAGCCTAGTTAGTTCATATGAATGCTCTTATCTCTTCTGGCTTTGACATGAACAAGTGACAGATACACGTATGAAACACAACAGACATGACTACACAAGGTAACACACAGCTCAGAATATCTATTTCTACAAACAAGCTAGGTACACACAGACACAGGAAAGTACTACTCATATGTCATGGCTGACAGCGTGTCTCCATTTCGACCTGCACCTTTCCGTCTTTTCAGACAAAACTGTTATATTGTGCTACGAGGAGGCATGGGACTCCCAGCCCATGGCGATGGCGAGTGTGACTAGCAAGACCCGCCCGCGTTAACCAAGAAAAGTATTCCATATAGGGACTCTTCCATCTTCCATTCTCCACCTCTGCTGAGAAAACTGTTGTCAAACCTGCTCTTTCTAATACCTCAGTGTTTGTGATCTTGTCCTGCCACTAAATGTCAAGTTTTCTTCTTATACATAGCATGTGAAAGCAATTTAGCCGTCTCTCCTGGTGCGAATAAGTTGAACAGGTTTCACTGGTATATCTGGTTAGATGCGGATGATATACTTGCATATAGGCAGGGGGAAGAGAGGGAGCAAACAGCCCGGGAGCTACAAGCGACAGTAGACAAAGTGACTGAGTGGTGTACAGAAATGAAGGCTGTCGTCCACCCGGAAAAGGCGTCTGTTTTGTGGTGTTCTCTGGACAAATGAATCGTTAAAGCTAATGTCCCAAATCTCACGATAGATGGTAGAGACGTCAACAGAGAGAGCAAACTGAAGTATCTGGATATTACATTTGACAGGAGCCTGTCATTTAAGGACCATGTGGAGAGTGTTGTGACGAGATGCCAAAAAGGACAGTGCACTTAAGACTATGGCTGCAATTGACATAGAGCAGAGAATGCTTTTCACACTATATCAGCACCTGATCCAGTCAGTGGTTGATTATGGCCTGGTAATGCGTAATTACCGCCTCTAAGAGTCAGATGGACAAACTAGAGCGCATACAGAACGCGGCTATGCGGGTCATTCTGTGTTGCACCAGAGACACCCCATTGGTGTGTATGCGATACATCCTTGGTTTGCCGACGGTTGCAGGTAGGCACAAGGTGATGCAGGCGAAGTCATATCTCGGGGTAGCTGCAGATACAGACCATCCTCTGCATGAAGCTCTGGGTGCAGTTAAGGGTCAGCGGCTGATAAGAGGGAGGTCATGTATGGCTCAGGCAGAAGACACAATCTCACAGGTTTGCATCCTTGAGAACATTAGGCGAGGAGAGGAGTGGGTCAAAGTGCCACCTGAGCAGTCAGACTTGTGTAGAGTCATAATCACGCTGAGCCGGGAATGCAGAGACTGGCCAGCAGGTGCCACAGAGGTGGAAATTCAGCAAATAATTCAAGATATTGCTCGCTCAGAGGATTTGATCATTTACACAGACGGTTCAGTGTCAAGAGGCAAAAGAAGTGCTTGGAGCTTTTTAGCAAAAGTTAATGGTTGACGTTTGGTGCAGTAGAGCCTAGCATATGATACCACAACATCCAGCTTAAGAATGGAGGTGGAGGCGGTCACTGCAGCTTTCCGCTGGCTAGACGACACGACACACACACACATTGTAATTGTAACTGATTCAGAAAGCATGCTGAGGAAGATCAGAACAGGTATGCTTCGTGCAGAGTGGCATGCTTCGCTGCGGAGGACACGAGTGAGGAGTATTGTCTGGATTTTTTCACCGGGTCACGCCGGTGTGTTGGGAAATGAACAGGCGGACAGACTGGCTGGCTCTGCACAACTTGGTGGAATACTGCTACATGATAGGGCAGACATGGTTAGTGCCTTGTGGGAGAGCGTGTACAATGCAGAGGGGCAGATGGATCACCACAGTCTGGTGAGATTGATGCAGTTGGGGGTGAAGAGAGGTTCTGGCAGAAGCTCAAGACTCAGTGGAAAGGCAAGACGGACATTTAATCAGAAAGCTACTGGCACCATTAGTATCGGAACTCTTCGCTGGCTGCTGAAGATGGAGACGGAGCGCTTATGGGAATGCCCCGGTTGCTGTGATGTCGGTTCTTGAATCAAATCAAATCAAATCAATCTGGTTAGATGAATTCTGGCTGGCTACAAACTAGGCATCCTAGCAGACTGTACAAGAGTTACAAACATTTTACGTGGCGATCGTAGGAATTCAGCACCCACATTTAATACCATTGGTTGAAAATTCCAGGAGCAGACTCACTGTGTGTCTGTTACTTGCCTGCCCAGTACAACCAAACCAACCCTGTCCCCAGTAAATGAGTACAAGTTAATATGAGGGTAAGTCAGTCAGTAAGTCATAAATGGTTATGGGGTGACAGGAAAATGTTGTTGGTGGTTT